CCAGCGTCGCGAGCATGACCGCCTCCGCCCGGGCGCGAGGATCCTCTTCCTCCCCCTCCCGCCGCTCCGACCGACTCCAGCGGAGGCGGACCTTCTCCGGATCCAGGCCGATGCGCTCGCAGTACTTGGCGACCACCTCGGGACGGTGAATGACATCCTGCGCGTCGAGCAGCAGCGGCAACGCAGACCGTGCGTTCCCGCGATCACAGTACCAATCATACAGCAGCCTCGTCCACCGCAGCGTGGCGTGCAGATCCAGGAACGGCTCGATCATGCCCGGCTCGCAGAAGCTCTCCCTCTCCAGGCCGTGCAGGGCGCGGTAGAAGGAGGGGAACACCAGGGCCGGATGGCGGATGAGGAAGGTCGCGCGCCACGAGGCCAGGTATGCGTCGGGGAGGATGGTGAAATTCTCGGGGGAGAATGCTGCGGTGTTGCTGCTCGTCTGGGGATTGAGGTATGATTTGGGCACCTGCACGCCCAGTCGCGTCGAGGGATGATGGCTGCGGCTGCCCGTGGCCAGGTACTGGGCCATCGCGGCCGGTTCGGCCAGCCAGAGGGTGTGCTCCTTGGCGAAGAAGACCTTGCCTTGGGTGAGGGCGGCCTGTGAGCTGGCTTCGATGTGGTCGAGGTTCTGCTGGAAGGCTTGCCGCAGGTTCGCGGTCTCGGAGGGCTCCCACTGCTCGACGGGCCGGCGGCTGCAGACTGTGTCGCGCTCGTTCATGAACGCGTCCCAGAAGAAGTAGCCGCCCCGCTCGTTGGAGACGACGTTGGGCTGCTCCGGCAGCGAGAGCATCCTGACGAGGAGGTTCGAGGCCGTCCGGGGGTAGGTGATCAGGAGCACCCGGTCTGCGGGCTTGGGCGGGCCCAGGTGGTGGGCATCGTTGCTTGGGGCCATTTCTCGCGCTGTTGCAGGAGAGATGAGTGCGGATTGTAGGACGGATCAAGGCATGAAGAAGTGAGGCAGAGAGGCGATGGCTATCCCCTGTTACTCTTCTAATAAATGGTCGTGGCCTTCGTGATGCTCGAATGGTAGCCAAGACGCGCTACCCATTCTTCTTATTCTTTTCCATCGTACTACATCGAAAGACTGTCTTCAGATCGGGACCAACTTTACTGGGTCTCTGGAGCATTCCAGGGAAAGAGTTCTCCAGCGTGGTGCGTAGGAATGTGCATGCCATACCGTAGACGTCCCAATGCGGTAAACAGTGCTTGCGCTTGACAACTTTGCAAACCGCGTCGAAATGCAACATCAGCTCTACATCCAATGAGTGATACAGCTAATTAATTTCTTTGTCCAAAGCGAAGCAGAGTATCCACTGTGCTTCCTCGACCCAGCGATGCGGTGTCGAATCGTATGGGGCGTGCAGCACCCCCCACGCAGCTGATAGATGAGACGGACACACCCGTATTTCCCACTAATAACGATCACACGTCAGGGAGTCTCTGACACCTTGCTAGTGAGCTGGCTGGGTTTTCCACCAACCATTGCGTGTGCCGTGTAGGAAGTGCAATCGGTGCGGAGATCTAGCCCTCGTCGCAGATCGCCGGATGCGGAAATCGAATCTCGGAACCTTCTTCAACCCTCCTTCGCATGGAAAGGGTGGAACCGTGGATTTGACAGCCGCATTATATACCGAGATTGCAGTCTATTACTTAATGGCTTATTTGCCATGGGCTCACTTGTACGAAGCACAAACCTTGCTGGTTCCCCCTCCACACTCCCCGCAGGTCTTGACTTTTTGGAGGGGGGGGGGGGGAGCACTTTGGCTCGATATAGCCAGAAGTCTCATAATCTTCGAAGAGGGACTCCAGAGACCTGAGGTTGCAGAAGATTAGCATCACTCGATGTTCGTCCTCTATATGCTCTGCCACCCTAGTCACGCGCATGCCTGACTTACAGCAATTCCAATAAACTATCTCTCGTATACGCCGTGACCTATGACCCGTATCATAGCGGGGCGTAGCCGCTGCTAGAACTCAATTCCCAATAGTCTTGATGTAATCCACGGCCATTACTGACTCGTTGCCTAGACGCACACGATGCGCGACATCTACTGAGGCTTCCACCATGGGTTCCATATAACCCTTCTCAGTGCCGTGTGCGGGCCAATCTCTGCAGTCTCTTTGCATGGTTCCGCACAGGAGCATAGGTAGTGGGTTTGTACAGTACACCTCACCATGGGCACCAATTGGAAGAAGGCTCTAGAACTAGGGACCCTCCTAGCATTTACTAGTCTGGCGGATTGTGCCAACTGGGCATCCTACCAATCTGTCAGTTGCTTTTAGCTCCAGTAGCCCCCTGCACTCCCCTTGCTAACCACCTGGTCGAGTACGCAGCGACCAGACATCCGCGCTCCGATCCTTGAGATCAGCCTCAAGAATGACAGCCTTATTACGCCCGGGTACATCTTCATCGCCCCATACTTTGGCGATGTACCGGGACCTTATATTTACGATACCAATGCTGTATGGTTCTGCGCATTCCCCCGTCTTTCACCCCAGCTCAGCCCAGCCCAGCCCAGCCCTAACGCCAGCAGAACCTGATCTGGAGCGGCGCCGACGGCTCCGCCACCGACATCTTCCAAGACCTGCACGCCTGCGCATACAACGGAACGGACCACCTGTGCTATTTCCAAGGCACGCAGATCGGGGGGTACGCGCGGGGCCAGCACGAGATCCTGGACAGCAGCTACAGCCCGGCAGCGACAGTGCGCAGCGGCAACGGACTGGAGATGAGCGACATGCACGAATCGGCCGTGATCAACGGCACGAGCATGCTGATCCCCATCTACCAGCCGCGCACGGCCAACCTCAGCGCGTACAACGTGACCGCCGACCCCGGGTGGGTGATCGACGGGGTCTTCCAGGAGATCGAGATCTCCACGGGCGCCGTGCGCTTCCAATGGAGCAGCCTAGACCAGCAGATCCTCCCGGGGGAGTCGTACACGCCGCCGGGCCTGAACCCGGTGGTGGGCAACGGGACCAGCAACGCGACGGCGTGGGACTACTTCCACCTGAACTCGATCGACAAGAACGGGGCGGGCGACTACCTGATCTCGGCGCGGCACACCAGCGCCATCTACAAGCTCTCGGGCGCCACGGGCGCCGTCCTCTGGCGCCTGGGCGGCCGCCAGTCCACCTTCACGCAGACCAACTACAACTTCTCCGCGCAGCACGACGCGCGCTTCCTCGCCGAGAACGCCACCACCACCATCCTCTCCCTCTTCGACAACGGCAGCGACAACCACCGCAACACCTCCGCCGCCTCGGCCGGCATGATCGTCGCCCTCGACCACACCACCAACTCGTCCGCCTTGCTGCGCCGCTACGACGCCCCCGGAGCGCCCCCCGGGATCCGCGCGTGGAGCCAGGGCAGCTGCCAGATCCTGGCCTCGGGGAATGCCTTCATCGGCTGGGGCAGCACCCCGGCCATCTCGGAGCATCTCGAGGACGGCACCCCGGTGTTCTTGGCGGCGGTCGCCGACGAGCGTTCCATGAATTACCGCGCCTACAAGGCCAATTGGACCGCCGTGCCCGCCGAGCCCCCCGCCCTGAGGGTGTATAGTCCCGCGCCGGGGGCGGGGCCGACGACCTTCTGGATGAGTTGGAATGGCGCGACGGAGGTGGATCATTGGAATATCTATGCGGCGGCGGAGCAGGTGGTGATGCTGGGGACGGTGGGGAACTCGGGGTTTCAGACGACGTTGACGAGTTCGGCGTATTATCCGAGGGCGTTTGTGGAGGCCGTGGGCAGGGATGGGGCCAGCTTGGCGAATTCTTCGACGGTGGATACTTCTTCGACGTTGCCGGGTTGATGGGGGTGTTGGCTGGGGGGTTCTTAGAAGTGGAGGTGCTAGTGTTATGTTTTCTGTTCTCAAATTGTATGTGGATTGCAATTTGATTGTCAATACATTTTGCGACTCAGTCGTTCTTATGGCAGTTCCAGGTTAAACATCCTATCAGTCTAAATGGGCATTCCAGGTGGGCATTGTCCGTGCAATCCAAGGACGGGTACGGTGTAGACAAGATTTTGTTCCCGCGCTCGTTAGGGCTTCCAGCCCTGCGCTTGAGATCAATGCTGCATAGATGCTGCCATAGTAGCGTTGTGCGACTGGATCGCTTGCAGAGGTCTCAAGAGAATATGAGATGAATACTCATCTATGCTGGACACCAAAGTACCGCGCAATACTGCCTGAGTTTTCCTAAGGTCTAAGCATTGTGGACCACACAACAGGTGCCTTCCCTGAGCAGGCTTTGTCTTCATGATGAGCCGACGATGGGTTCCATTGATGCCTTCGAATAGTAAGGCACCCATGTCAGATCGCAAAATGCTTACATTCTGTATTGGGGAGTCGTCTGCTCTTTGTTCTCTTTTGCGTTGTTTCGTGGGCCGTTTTCATTCAACAAACAATAGTGGATATTATCACGGGTAGATCCGCGGATAGTCAATGGAATGTATACATGATAGAAATGGGCATCTTGACCAGATGGAATAGCTTACTCCTTAGGATTGTCACAGTTTTTATACGGCCCTAGCGAGGCCAGCTGTAATGAGATGAACGTAGCGATCGTCACTTCCACTTTGGTCCTGAAAGCTGGAATAGGACTCATCGCAGCTAGGATCATGTATGTAATTCTACGTCAAAGCTGTAGCAATGCTGGAAACCGAAGTTAGTGGCACATAAAGAGATCAGGCCTGCTGAAAGGTAGACGAAAACTGTCCTTTATCGAAGTAACTCCTCAAGATCAGCACTGTCAACAAAGGTGCAGTCCTTGGGATATACTCAGTGTGTCCAATTGCTTTGTTGTATACAGGAAAACCCAACAGATCCAACCCTCCAGACCCAAGCATAGTAGCCATCAGCAAGTGTATAAGTAGACCTCAAGCAGCCTCCCATCCCTCCCCACTCCCACAACATCCGTCTCAGTACCAGCGACGCAGACTCCACATACACCACACTCACTTCCCCAATCCACCGAGCAAACCACACACAACCGCAATGAGCACCCCACCCGAGACCTCAACCCTCCCCGAGGGCTGGACGCTCACGCCCACCAGCGTGGGCCCGGGCATCCCCTACTCCGCCCACGGGAAGCCCGAAAAGTTCTCGCACGCCATGTGGTCCCTGCTGGGCCTGGGCTGCCAGACCGAGCACGTGGGCGCGATCGTCAAGTACCTCGTCCCGGAGAAGCTCCAGCTCGCGGCCGAAAGCTGGGAGGCCGAGTGCCTGTGGACGCTGGTCTGGTTCGGGCTGCCGGCGGTGCACCGGGCCTTCGAGACGTCCAAGCCCGCGTACGGCGTCATCCGCGCCGGGAACGAGATCCAGCTGTACCGCGAGGGCGCCGGCGAGGTGGCCCCGCTGCTGTCGCCCCTCGCAGATCCCAAGTTCCCCTCCACGGAAGAGCCGCCGCGCACCATCTACCGGTACGAGCTTCACGGCCGCACGGCCTTCGACTGGATTGCCGACAGGCCGCTCATCAGCCAGTGGGTCCAGGTGGTCGAGAACGACCCATCCTTGGCGACGACCGATGTCGACGTGGTGCTCCACGGCGCCAAAGTGCCCAGGGCCGAGCTACCGCTGCCTCTCCCTCACGGCCCGGACCTTAGTACCGTTTACTATAGGAGTAATGGTACGGAGTTCCGGGACTGGATTCAGGAGTTGTGCAAGCGTAGGGCTGCAATGAAAGCTGCGGCGGCTGCGGCTGCTGCGGCTGGTGCCAATGGGGCTGGTGCCAATGGGGCTGGTGCTCAGAAAGCCGATACCTGTTCTAGGTGCAAGTCTATGTGAGTAAAGGCACAACTCTTACCTTTGTTCTGCTCACTCTAGTAGGAGATCCATGAAATTTCACATGTAACTTAAGTTACTTATACTATACTACTCATCTTTTATCGCTTATCGCTTATCGCTTATCGCTTATCGCTTATCAGCAATCGGCAATCGCCTATCGTCCACCGCTTATCTCCGTTGTCGGACCGGATTAACCGCCCACCCGGCCATCCTTGCATTCTGGCAACCCAACAATAATAACTAATTCTCTCTCCACAACCAAAACCCATAAGCATAATCAACATCCGGATCAGATCCGTCTTTCGATGGTCGCCACAACATCATCTCCTCCCCGGTCCATCCGGCGGGCCGGGAATCATCATGACCCGGAAAGAGAGGACCCCGTGAATGAGACCACGGCTCTTCTCCCGCCCAGCAGCAGGCCTACCGACGCCGAGCCGGACCAAGAGGAAGATAAGCCTCTGCCCAAGCTCCAGATTCTCCTGCTGTGCTACGCGCGGGTCATCGAGCCGCTCGCCTTTTTCTCCATCTTCCCCTATGTCAGCCAAATGGTGCAAGACAACGGGGGCGTGGCCGACGCCGACGTCGGCTTCTACAGCGGGCTCATCGAGTCCCTCTTCTCGCTCACGCAGGCGATCATCATGATCTTCTGGGGGCGGGCGGCCGACCGCTTCGGCCGGAAACCCGTGCTGGTCTTCTCGCTGTTCGGGGTGACGATCGCGACGGGCCTCTTCGGGTTGGCCCGGACGATCCCGCAGATGATCCTCTTCCGGTGCCTGGCGGGCGTCTTCGCGGGCACCATCGTGACCATCCGCACGATGGTGGCGGAGCACAGCACGAGCAAGACGCAAGCCCGCGCCTTCAGCTGGTTCGCCTTCAGCGGCAACCTGGGCATCTTCCTGGGGCCCCTGCTGGGCGGGAGCCTGGCCGATCCCGGCCGCCAGTACCCGGGGGTCTTCGGGTCGGTCCGCTTCTTCGCCGAGTACCCGTACGCGCTGTCGAGCCTGGTGGTGGCCATGGTCGGCGCGACGGCGGCGATCTCCAGCGCGCTCTTCGTGCAAGAAACCCTGCCAAAGCAACCCTCCATCTCCACCCGCAGCGACGAGGAGGAAGCGGGCGAGTCGGCCGGCAGCGCCATCGTCCGCGCGGAGCTCTCGACGTGGGACCTCCTGAAGGCGCCCGGGGTGGGGATGGTGATCTACACGTACGGCCACATCATGGTGCTGGCGTTTGCGTACACGGCGATCGTCCCGGTCTTCTGGTTCACGCCGCCCGCGCTGGGCGGGTACGGCTTCACGCCGCGCCAGATCTCGCTGCTGATGGGGCTGAACGGCGCCGCGCAGGCGGCCTGGCTGCTGCTGGTCTTCCCGCCGCTGCAGAAGCGCCTCGGCTCCAACGGGGTGATCCGGCGGTGCGCCTACGCCTACCCGTTCTTCTTCCTGGCCTGCCCGGCGGGCAACGTGCTCCTGCGCGCGGGCACCGAGGCCGCCGTCACCGTGTTCTGGGTCTTTGTGCCCGTCACCCTGGTGCTGGGCTGCGGCGTCAGCATGAGCTTCACCGCCATCCAGCTCGCGCTGAACGACATCGCCCCGTCCCCGCGCGTGCTGGGGACCCTGAACGCGCTGGCGCTGACGGGCGTCAGCGGGCTGCGCGCGTTCAACCCGGCGCTGTTCACCACGCTGTTTGCGCTGGGGGCCCGGTCGCAGTGGCTGGGCGGGTATGCGATCTGGGGGCTGATGGTCGTGCTGGCGCTGGGGCTGTCGGTCGCCGCGCGAGCCCTGCCGGAGCCGCAGGAGGCGCGCAAGGGAGATGGGCGGCGGTGACGGTGGGGGGCATGAGATCACTCGATATAGCCAGGCTTGCCAGGCCTTTTGCGGGAAAAGTACATAGACACGTATATCAGAGAGTGGATAGACCATCACCATCGTTCTCAATCATGTGACAACCATAGTAAATTCATACTCAGATTACCCCAACTTACTAGCCTCGATGACCACTGTGCAACAACAATCAAACCCTCAACAATCCGCCTAAATGACCCAACCAAACCACCCAAATTCCTCCTGTAACACACTGACAACCAGCACAACAACTCGAACACCAAATTGAACACCAAATTCAACCTGGTGGACCCTCCTTAATCTAAAATCTGCCCAGGCCCACGCGCCGCCCGCTCCGCAACAATAGCTTTAGCCCTGACCCTGACCCTGACCCCGACCCTTCAAGCACAGCCATCGGGTCCAAACTCGCCCAAACCAGCAGCATATTGGATAGATCGAATCCCACAACGTCAGATGACTGGTCGGACGGGTAAATCCCGAACAGGTTTCAGCCGTCCCCAAAAAAAACTGTCAGACTGTCTCGGTGTCGTGTCCACGCGGGAGGGAATTTAAATTCACAATCGTGGCCGGAATCTGGCCCCCAAAATGTGAGCCGGGCATGTCTTACTTGGCGCTTGGCTTGGCCTTGGCGTTGCTGGGCGAGTTGATAGGCTCGACTGTACAGTACTCTCGGGTGTAGCACAACCACATGGGCAGCGGGCTGGACAGCGCTAACGTGTCTTCAGGCCGGGGGTTGTACTTAATACTAGGGACTAGGCTATAATAGCAGGAAATATAGGAGACTCGGGAACCCTGAGACTGGGTCGAAGACCCTTAAATCCCTGATCCCGATCCCCTTAAGTGCTCCCCCCCCCAATATCTCCTCCACTTACCATTTCCTCTCCACAAAAGAACCTTACCCTACCCTTTCTTCCTCTATTTGTGTTCCTCCAAAACCTCAGTGTGATGCTCTCTTAACCCCCATCGAGTCAATCCAGTCAATCGAAACCCCCGCAGGGTCCTCCCCAACCCTAACAACCACCCTACCACCCACCCAAACAAAACCCTAACCACCCCGGGGGCCTCCTCAGCTCCCCTTCCCCACCTAGAAAACACCCCCCTCCCCCCAAAAAAATGAACCCCCCCAGCACCGACGGCAACTGCAGCGCCCTCAACAGCGCCACGAACGCGACGTGCCTGACCTCCCCCTTCGGCAACTGCTGCTCGGCCAAGGGTTACTGCGGCTCGACCGACAGCTACTGCGGCGCCGGCTGCCAGCCGGGGTGGGGCGAATGCAACACCGCCGGGTCGGCGCAGACGATCAGCACGACGGGCTCCTGCGGCGAGACGGTCTCCAGCAACACCACGTGTCTGGGCAGTGAGTACGGCGACTGCTGTTCCCGGCTGGGGTATTGCGGCCGGAACAGTAGTTACTGCGGGGTGGGGTGTCAGTCGCTGTTTGGGAGTTGTGCGTCTGATGATGATGAGGCGGGGGAAGAGTCGACGACGAGGACGAGGGTAGGGACGGGTACTGCGGCAACGGGGACCACCACGGCAACAGCTACAGGTACAGCGACGCAGGCGGTTTCGACGGATGGATCGTGCAACAGGGAGATTACCTGTGTGGGGAGTGAGTGGGGGGATTGTTGCTCCGGCCATGGGTGGTGTGGTGCGAATGCTAGTTATTGTGGCGTGGGCTGTCAGTCTGAGTTTGGGCGGTGTGGTACTGACTCCACTGGGTCGGGGCTGGGGAAGGGGGCTATTGCGGGGATTAGTGTTGGGGCGGCGGTGGGGGGGTCGCTTGTTGTGTTGGGGTTCGTGGTGTGGTTCTTGAGGAGGAGGAGGAGAGGGAGGTATACGGCTGTTGTGCCGGTTAAGGGGGAGGGGGAGGGGGGTTCCCTGGGTCAGGTGCAAGACGCGAGGGGCCAGGGGAATGGCTCCGTCGAGATGGCGGCTGCTACTCCTGGAGGACAGCAACAACAACAGTTTGCGGTCGAGATTGGGCAGGCGAGGAAAGTGCCTGTGGAGATTGGGCAGGCGGATGTTACTTATACCCATGAGTTGGAGGGGAGGGGGTCAAGGGGCCTGGTGGAACCGGTGGAGTTGCCGGCGACGCGGCGGTGATACTATACTGCTGGGCTCGTATTTTTTGGGGTGGTTTTGGAATGCTGGATGAAGGCGGATGGCTATAATGCTGCCAGAGGTTTTCTTGTCACGCCCTGAGTTGCACGACACACAGTCTGTGGAGAGCACTGTGCAGGCCGCCTTGAATGTAATGGATGCACGGGTTCTGCAGATATTAACTAAGATATCGCCCATCCGGAATGAACACTTTGATGCTGTAAACAGATGCCCTACCGGGTGAGCATACAGCGGAAAGCAGGATCAAAGACAGATTCTCTGTCTCGGGAGAGTCACAGAAGATCTGACAGACAAGAAAATCGATCATGATCTCGTCAAAATACCCTATATGCCTGTTCCAGCCCATATATACAAGAATTCGCCTCAGACCACGAAGTCTACTCTTCACTCGGACTAAACCGGCTCCACGACCGGATCCGCTTCCCAAACACATAGAACAGGATCGGCACCGGAAACAAAATGGCCGTCAAGCATCCCAGCAGTGTCATCGCCCAGTTGACCCCAAGGTTGTGGAACTGTACCCAAGTCAGCGTGGTTTTCGATCAGAAGTACCAACATAACGTACCATGGGCAACGCGAACATGGGAAACCCCGCCCCGAGCCCCGACCGGAAAAAGCAGTTGGCTGCGATGGCTGAGTTGGAGTTGACGCCGTAGCAGTCGATGATATAATTCAACCCCTACCAGATACATGTCATTAGCTACCTGAGGAGCATACCAAAGGCCAAGAACGAGACAGATGTACTGGTGTGACCGTGTAGCCAGACTCGCCCTCGGCGTTTGTGTCTGCAGCATAACTTACCTGCATGAAAATCAACAAGATCCCCGCTCCCAGGAAACCCCCCGAGATGGCCTGGGGCACCCAGGAGATGGACGGATTGGACGTCCACCCGAACCAAAACATCCCCGCCGGCAACAACACCCCGCCGATCATCATGGGAATCAGCCGCTCCTCGGGGACGATATGCCCCTCGCGGCGGAGCACGGCCTGGAACCGCGTCTTCGTGAAGGTGATGATAATCCCGCAACCCACCAGAACTCCACACGTCACCGCGACAAACGGCAAAGCCCCGACCCCCTCATTCCACCCGCGCATCTCCTGGAAGGCGATCGGGTAGGCCTCGAAGCACAGATACAGGAACCCGTAGATGAAGCCCATGTACAGGGTGATCAGCAGCAGGATCGGCTCGCGGAAGAGCATGTCGATCGGCCGCACGAGGTACCGGTGCGCGATATTCTTCAGGTCGACCGGTTCCTCCTCCGAGCGCGCATGGAGCGCCCAGTTGCGCGTGGCGTAGCGCCGCCGCCGCGCACGGCGCTGCAGCAGCACCGGCGCAAAGGTCTCGGGCACCACGAGAAACCCCAGCGCCCCAAAAAAGAAGGCCATGATCGCGGTGATGTACTCGGTCCAGCGCCAGCCCAGATACGACATCGTGATGAACCCGCCGACGATGGGGCCCGCCACGGGGCCGACGAAGGTGCTGCCCGCGAAGACGGCCATGGCGATGCCGCGTTCTACGGGGTCAAAGAAGTCCGCCAGCATGCCGCCCACGATGGCCAGCGGGGCGCTGGCGAACAACCCCCCAAAGAATCGGCACACGAAGATTGTCTGCAGGTTCTGGGCGACCGCCACGGGGATCTGAAAGATGGCGAAGATGAAGAAGCCCACGAACAGCGGGGTTTTGCGTCCGTACAGTTCGGATAGCGGGCCGAAGGCCAGCGGCCCGAAGCTGTACCCCAGCACGAAGAGGCTCGTCCCCAAGATCATCACTTCCTCCGACACCCCGAATTGCTCCGCCGTGACCGCCGCTGCGGCGCTGAAGACGGACGAGGCGAAGGTCACGGAGACGGTCATCAATCCCAGAATTATCGTGATCGTCCATTTGCGGAGTTCCGTCCAGTTTGGGGGATATTCCTAATGAATTTGTTAGTCACTTTCTGCAGGACGCTTCGACACAAGACAAGGCAGTAAACATACCGGATCATCCGGGCCATCCCAGTCCACGATATTGGGATCTTTCCCCTCCTCGGACGAAGGGTCTACATTCTGTTTCTCGACATCATCATGCACCACTGTACTGGACGCGCTCGAGTGGCTCGGCCGATGCTCCGACTGCTCCGACTGCTCCGGGGACGTGGAGTAGGTCTGTGCGTGTGCGTTTGCGTGTGCGGTTGTATTTCTCTCCGCCATGGCCAGTGCTGCAACGATGTCGCCTGAAAGAGTAAGATGTGTTGCATGATGTGTGTCTCGCCCTTCATTCTTAAGTACACACCCACTCTCTCATGATGTAAAGCCATCTCCCAGGATTGTATGCCCCGTTGGAGGGGCAGGCAGAGAAACGTCATAACGAATCGGGTATCGGATGCGGGTGGCAAGCAACGGCCTGCCCCTAGGTTGACACCGAACAAAGCCACCACGCGACGGTGGGTGAGGGGAGCATTGTCAACCGGGTAAACACATGTTGGCAATGACCCGGCTTTGACATCATTCAGGTACCTACCCCCAGGTGCAGTGCCTGAGTGGTATTGTGAATCGAATTGCTGATTCATCAGCGGTCGAGGCTGTGGAGTGCCGGTTATCCGACCTGGGCTTGTTCCAGAACGCGGACTTGCTGCATCATAGCCACGTTGGTCTGCGGATGAACCAGTATATCCCAGCGATCGCGGTTATGCTCTGCGTCGGATGTTTATGAATCATGGGAGAAGAGCTCCGCTCGCTGATAAGAGGTTATCTCCTTATCCAGTCCTGATTTCATCAGTATCCGCGCCCGGTTCTTGAGCAACTTTGATCGACGTACCTGGAGCGTTGAGAGAATCTGGCCTGCCCAACAATTGTGTGCCTCTATCACTTGATTGTTTCCCTCGAATAGCCATGACTTTCTTCAGTCAAGGAGGCCATACGCGTTAGCCGGGAAGCCGAGTCGGTGGATGAGTGAGGTTCTGTTGATGTACAGTACAGCCGGATAAATCAGCTGAACGCGGGATCGCGGAGTTTTCTGGCACAAGATCAACAGGTGGCTTTCCCTTCAGCAACATCACGATCGGCTTCATCTACAAGGACAATCCCGTCTTGGCGAGCTTGTCAATCGGCAAGCGAATCAAATGGAAAATGGAAAATGTCATCCCAGATTCTTCAAAAAGGGTCTTAATTTGTACTTCTTCATAGTGTAAGTAGGTTCGTGGTCCAGATGCCGGGGCTCAAGGCTCGGTTTGACCATCTAAGCGTTCTTTCATTGCACCAAGCTATCGCATTATGACTTTGACAAGCTTCGAAAACAGCGCTAAAATAAATCCAAGCTCAAATCAACTGTCAGAAAGTAAACCCGAAAAGCAAAAATATCCAAAGCAACATCTATAGGGTATTCATCGAAACAATGCAATCTAATGGTGTATCGGTCGCATATCAACAGGTGGTGACGTCATCACTAACATTCTCGCATCGTCTCCAAGCAGTCGCGGTCGCGAAGGTACAGGTCGATTCCGACGTCGACGCAGGCCTCGCGTAGCGGCTCAGTCAACTCATACACCCGTGGGCGGATGAATCGCTCGCTCATGGACCCGGACGCCTCGTAGCCTGACGCCTCTTCATCCTCCTCATCGTGGAAAAACCCTTCGAGATCGAGTCGCTTCAGGCTAGTGAATTGGGTCTTGCGTTTTTGGAGGACCGACTTGAGCTGTCCCACCAGCATGGTCAGCGAATTCTCCTTGCATCCCTCCACATAGAAGGCTTCCAGGGATGGCGGGAGGATATCGGTAAGTGGACATGATGGGTCCAGCTGGTAGCGGATGTCGAGCAGATTGGGCAGGCGGATGCGGAGTTCCTTGAGCGAGGTGTACTCGGTCAAAGGACCAAACCATTCGTCATGTGTCTCGTTTGCCCCAGCGACGGTGAAGGGCAGATGGGTGCCTCCATTGTCAAGCCACAGACTTTGCAAACAATGTTTGCTCGTATCCAGCGACCGGTAGAAGGAGGAAGGTCGGTAGCCCTCGGACAGAAGATGTGAGTCAGAGTGCTGGTACTTGAACGACTTCAGAGAAGAGCAGGAGGCGACCAGGCTCTCCATGCCCTTGGTACCACTGCTCGTGCGGAGAGTGATCTCTGAGATAGATGAAGAGCCGATTACAGGTTCATACCCAGAGTCTGCAGTCTCCGACTGGCTCTCTTCTGGTTGCGTAGTTTCAACAACGGAGTCGGCGGTAAACGTCCGCATCGATGGTAGTTGAAAGAATGGGAGGACTTGCGAAGGTGTAAAGCTCCCGCGGCTATCCTCGTCATCGGGCAGATGGCTTAAAGAGACATGTCGCAGCACACGGAAGGCGGATTGAGTGTGGAAAGGCCTCTCTCCCTTCACAGCTCTCTGCACCATGCGATCCAAGTAGATGTTGTTCTTCGGATAGACCAGTTGAAGGCGTCTGAGGTTACCCACCAGGGGCAGAAGAAGCGCAATCCAAGCTTCCTCGACTCCGTCCGAGAGATCCTGAGACCATCGTTCTTGTTCTTCTTCGGAATGGCTGAAGCCTCCCGCCAAATTCGTAAAGGGTGTTAAATCAGTATCGGAAAACGGAGTAGAAGAGTACGTCGTTCGGGACTGCCATTGATGAAAGTCCAATGAGCGAACAGCCCGAGCCAGCTCGGGACGACGGAGCAGCGCCCCTAGGAAAGAATGTAGTTGAGCGCAGCTCTTCAGACTAGCATCTCGATAAAGCAAGCGTCGAAACAACTCATGGAATTGACACGATACAAAGAGGAGATTGTAGCGGTCCCAGTGATCTTCCACAAACTCCCCAACCAGGAGGAGTATATCATTCGGAAGTGCAAGAGTCATGATGAGCGAGCAAAATCAATTGCTATGCTAAGAGCAGAGCACACACACCCCAGTCTGGCACGAAGCAGCGATAAGAGACAGCCCACCGGAGGCCTGGGCCATTAAAAAGGAGGTCGCCGCTACGCTGATAACCTAAGATACATAGCGGCGGTGATTGAATTTTTCCCCCCGTTTTTTTTTTTTTTTTTTTTTTTTTTTTTTTTT